GCCCTTCACCCGCGTCGGTTAGATTTACCTGAGGGCCAGTTTGCTTGGTGCTTAGGCAACTATACTGCAGACCAATTGCAAACTAAATTTCGTCAGGGTCCAATGATCTCTTTGATACCATAGCTGTACACGCCTTGGAGCAAGAAGCGCCGAGTTTCGGGAAAGCAAACTCTTGGAAATCGCCTTTGTAATTGACAGTGCCTGAAGGTGGAGTGACGCCGCAATTTTTGTGATATTTACAAGCGCCGTGCCGTATACGCTGTGCACCGTACCTTCCGATTCCAACTCCCCAGCCGACGGCGTTCGGTAAAAGACGACTGCATTGTGGTTTTGCATGATCGCTTGTTTTGCAGTTTGCAGTTCGTACTAGATGCAGCTTAAAGCGCAAAGCATCACATTTAACTCGTCGCCCATTTCATCTAAGTTCCAAGAGAGGTCAACACCTGGACAACTAAATATGCCGTGATTTTAAGTGGCTGTGGTACAGTCTCTGGGTTATCTCCCTAAGCTAAAGTGATAGCTTAGACAGGTGAACTAAGCCGCTGTGTAACTGCACGCTTTGCCAGCTGCCTGACCAGTTATTGACACAGAGTCATGGTAACGTCCGAGAAGAGCGAGCTCAGGTGCGAGCGCCGCAGACCATAGCGTCACCGCTGTGTCAATGGTTCACCGACTGACCTCTCAGCAGATCGACGACGTCCAGCAGTTTGCTGCGGTTGTTGATGGTGGCGAGGGCGCCGCCATGCTCCTGTCGAAAGTCGTTCCAACACAACCGTCAGCCATTTAGAGACGACGCTGTGTTATGCGGGCATCAAGCCCCGCGCAAAGCAGCTGACACGCCAGGGGGGAGGAACTCCAGCTCTCTAAACAGCGATGTTGCCTAGACGAGGACCTCCAGCCCTCTTAAGAACAAAGTTCCTCAGATGAGGAGCCACAAAACAGCGGCATTACCGAAACGAGGAGCCAAAGCCCTCCAAACAAAGTCACCCCCGCCACGAAACATGGGGCTAAGGGGCAGAGCTTGGCCAGCCCCACACCAGACCCCGCCGTCCCGAGGGTCCGGCGGCGAGACGGCACACCTCACCAACCTGGCAGAGGGCGTTGGCTCCGGCCCAGCTCATCGAACTGGAGGAGTTGCTGAGGTAACACCAGGAGCCACTCTGACGCCAGTCGGCAGGACACGGCGAGCCTGCCGGGAAGGTGGGTCAGTGAGGCGACTGGAACGTCATCTATAGGCGGCAGCGCCCCACGAAGCCGTGTGTATAGCGCCACCTGTCCACCAACTCAGCCTCCCGAGAGTGTGATTGATCAGTGATTAGCGTGTATGGGTGCGTCCAATGCGATGCCATTTCGCGCCTAGCGCCACCTATTGGTGAGGGAAACTGAGGCCAGTGCGCACAGCACCATCTATCGGGGTGCCTGGAACCTGAATGCTGAGAACGCTGTGCACAGATGTAGTGCAACAATGAACGATGTATCGCAGCACCGGCCGGTGACCGGTTTGTGATCTTCACATCTAGGCCAGTGCGAAGTAACAAAACACCGGGCAGAATGAATCTCAAGGAATGAATCTTCCGACCCGACTGCGATTTCGCCTGGGTGTTAAAGGGTGAATCCAGGGGAGCAGTCGTGCTATGCTTCCCCCCCCCCCCCCCCTGCAAGATGGTCAAATCCGGTCAAAAACAACACATTTCGGGACTTTGCAGAAAATCTCAGCAAATCTTGCCAACAAAAGATTGTGAAAATATGCTCACAGAGAGACAAAAGAAAGCGACGCTCGCTCGGTTGTTTTTTTAAAACCAGGACACTTTTTTGGCTTTTCCCCACCAAGCCGGCAATGTCTCCGTCTCCCAAGGTGGCGTTCTGGATCCGTCCTTTTGCGTATCTGTCTGCAAGTTCGACTTTCATGTGAAAAAACGGATGACATTGAGTTGCAGGCGATGTTTTCAACAATCCGCTTCAGTTGAGAGGCCATCTGGCTGGCGAGGAAGAGCACTTCTGAGCTCCGACCAGTGCGTCACGGTTTATAAACACGGGGACAGCACCAGCCGTTCGATGCAGAGCCATCCCGAAGTAGGGCTTGCGCCTCGGCATGGCCTGTGTCGCTCTCAGCAGCATGGCAGCGTACTGTTCCAGCTTACTTTGCTAACATCTGGGATAGTTTTTGCAACATCTCTGTTTTGCCTACTTGGTGAGTGCCTTTCTAGTGTTTATAGCACATCTTGAGCACTGACCTCTATTTCAGTGCATATGTTTCAACCAAGTAGGCAGAATAGGCGGACATTTGACCCATCTCATTCCATAACATCGGCTGTCATTCCAGTCAGCGCGTAGGATTCAAGACGAAAATAAAATCGTCGAGCTGACTTGCACATACCCCACTATATGGTTGAGGCCCACGTCCATTATTGCACCGTCACTGCACTGCACTGCACCGACGCCCATTGCTACACCGGTCGTTGCTGCACGTTACTGCACCGTTTGTTATTTATGCCCAGCACTGAACCACTGAAGGATCACCATTCGGCTCTCGAGGGCAGTGCTGACACGGGGGGACCAGAGCGAGGACGCCAGGGCGCGGGCGGCCGGTGGTGAGCAAAGGTCACCGTCTGTTTACAGTGGCCGTCGTGCCTCCGCGGTCCCCGGTCTCCGCGGTCGCCAGCCTCCGCGGCTAACACGCTGCAGCCTGCATCCCCGAGCGAGGGGCCGCCCGTCCGACGGGCGTGTTTGGTGAAATCAGGGGTTTCGTGTGACGACTGGACATCTGAAAATCCCGTCAAGAAAGGGGCCCCCCGTTTTCTATCCGCAAACTCCATTCCTTCCTTTGGTTGCATCGCGTACATCCGTACGCAAACTGCCTCTGGTCACATCGCATACATCCGTACGCAAACTGCCTCTGGTCACATCGCGTACATCCGTACGCAAGCTTCCACTGGTCACCTCGCGTACTTTCGTAAGCAAACTTCCTCTGGTCACATCACGTACTTTCGTACGCAAGCTTCCTCTGGTCACATCGCGTACATCCGTACGTAAACTTCCCCTGGTCACCTCGCGTACTTTCGTACGCAAGCTTCCTCTGGTCACATCGCGTACATCTGCGTACCGCATCCTGAAAATGCAGAAGCTGCAAAGCTAATGGCTAATTTGTATACGTGGCAGTTGCGGATCCCATCACATTTTTTGTTGTTTTTGCATTCAAAATGTGTTGGGAAGATTTTACTAGCAGGGTGAGTCATTCAGTAAATTGGGGAAGAGACAAGGGTACGCGGTGCATATCAACGAAACGGGTATCAAAACGGGCCGAAAGTCGAAAAGAGCTTTTCACATAGTCATCATCCAGTCATTCCACCCTTTCTATCGCCCCACAGCCCGCTCAATCCAGCCACATCAGCAACCATGTACAATGCATAGCTCTCATTTTCTGAGGTCCCTTGATGTCCCTTAGAGATGTTTCCATTTTATTCTCACCTGAGCAGAACCTCGCGTACTTCTCAGTGTAGGTCACGAGCACTGGCGACCGAAAACCAGTGACCAAGAGCAATTCCGGACGATATATCCCGCTTACATCCGGGCAAACATGCACCATTTTAGGCAAGTTAGACCAGTGGTGGGGCATCGAAAATTTCGGAAAGCGCGGCAAACATATTCCAACAGACCTCTCGTTCTCTCACGGTCCTTTGCAACTCAATGACCCCACTCATCTATATCCTGAATTTGTGGCTCGGGAAAGGTGTCCTGATGAGCCGCCCTGGGCTCTCTCATTTGGTCCCGACGAGCCGCCCTAGGCCGTCTCAGTTGGTCCTGATGAGCCGTTCTGTGCCGTCTCAGATGACCCTCAGATGACTGCGAGTGGGTCGCATGTCTGGGCCAAGCTAAAGTACTGGGAGTTTTAAGATTTCGTCACCCATTACCAAAATCGTCTTGGAAGATTACGACGGTAATGGTAGTCAGATGCGACATGAAATAAAATCACTGGTGCTGTTTTTTTCACTGCTTGATGATAACATACATGACACACATCTATGTCTATTCCGCTCACAGACCAATCTAACCTGTCCAAAATTTTGAACAGACTCGGGCTGACACACCAGCTTTTCTTTACTCGCAGAAGCAGCAATTCTCGTTGGCTATTTTAATCAGTTACCAAGCATGAAACATTTTCCCATTGAACATTACCCAGGTCACGTCAGTTGTTTTCTTCTATTTTTCAACGCTCTGAATCACCAGTCCGCAAAAATATTTTGTTTTATAGTTTGAGAGATCTCGAAAACAAAACCATCCTGTTCTTATCACACGTCATGTGGCCCTATTCACCGCGTAAGCTGTTCTGGTGGCGGATCGACTGAAGTGCTTACAAGAGCTTTGTCGGCTGCTTGCCGGTCCCGGGACGATCCCGCTGGTCGCGCTCTTGACGCTCTTGACGCACTTGACGCAACGAAACATATCATAAAATCTTATTCGTGGGGTCAAATGTTAAAATGCATCCCGGACCCTACGGTCTCTTTTTTGGCAAAAATTGGGTGTGAAACCTGAATGCTAGATAGTCTAAGTGGCAGTCATTAGATCCCACAACAGCTGCATGGTCCTTGTTTGTATTGGACTGTAAATATAGACCCTTGGCAGTTTTGTGGTCCTTGGTTCTCTTGCGTCCCTTGACTATTCTCGGGATCTATGAGAGTTGAGGGAACCTTGCCTGTTGCAGGCTTTTCATTGTGTAAGGTCTCCCTCAACTGCACCTTTCGGCCTTATTAGCTCGGAGACGCCTGACAGTTCCAAGATTTGTAGCGTTTAGATTTGTTTTTCAGTCTAGTATAGTGTCTGTGGTGTCTAAACTCCATTGATCGTTTTGAGATCAATGACTGTCCGGTTTCATTGGCTTTTTCATGTTCTTTGTGTGATGTCCCCGAGGGAAGTCTTGAGGTCCTCGGCTATCATGGTGATCCTTGACCTCTCGGAAGGTTGGTTCGGATAGTTCGGACCATACAACACATGAGGGTTTTCCTCTCCTCGTAGTTCCTTCAAATTCTTAAGCTCTTGGCCATCCCGTAGTCCTTTGATGTTTTAGGGTCCCCCAACAGCTTACGTATGTCTTGAATCGGCGTAGACCTTCAACGTCAGAGCACCACAACCTTTTCCGTAACTCAACCTGCGTTTGTCCGCCGATCCTTGAGCCCCTTACTCGAATCGGACTTTCATTTTCTAGAGGTCCTGCACTACGTCGGCGAACTTCTTCCCTTTGGCCCCTTGGCCGTTTGAGGGACCAGGTTGTCTTGGGTTTCCTTGGCTGTCTCGGGGCCTCTGGACTGCAAAAACTAGTTCCAGAGCTCACCTTCGTTTCTATGCTCTGTTTAGCCCTGGGCTTTGACTTGCGTTGGAAACCATTGGCCATGCTCTCGCTCTCGACTGTCTTGGGCCCTGCTGACTGTCTAGTTTCTTGGGAATTTTAGGCACCTTTTGCGTTTAGCGCTCATTGACCGTTTCAGGACCCCCTGGTGTCCTGAGGCCGTGACCCATTTTTACTCTCATTATTACGGGACTCTGAACTTTGCCTGGGTCTTTGAACGTCCCGGGACTCTTCACATCTTCGAGCGGTCCGTTGTCGCTAGAAACGGCTGTTTGGCTGATGGCCCCTTGACCATTCCCATGCATTCGCTCATACTGGCGCTCCTTGATCAGCTTAATGCACCAACAATTTATTGGGGCCTCCTCACGTTTTATTGCGGTTTCTCTGTTTTGGGCACTTGTGCCTGTTTGAGATCCGTGACCATGGCATCCTTGTAACGCATCGGAGACCTTGACAGCTTGAGTAAACACTGCCTTTCTCGGACCCTTTTGACCGCCCCAAAGCCTTCATCCGGGTAGAAGGCCCCTCATGGCATCCAGTGAACCTTCCAAGACCCGGAGGTGCTGTCCGAAGTCATGTAGCTGTCAGGATTTTTGACTGCAAAGGGACCGTTGACATCCTGAGCGCCTTTCGACTCTTTCGAACTCTGTCGAGCCCAGACCCCGGAGACTTTGACTTTGATCCCCAATGGTCCGAAGGACACTCTGAGCCCTTTTTCGGTCTCTTCCAAAAGCTTCCAGAAAAGCTTGCCTCTAGATGTGAGGGATCACTTGGAGCCTGTCTCTGCACCCGTGGCCCTGGATGTGCCGCCACTGCCTCGGACATAAGCACACGCACGCACGCACGCACGCGCACGCACGCACGCACGCACGCACGCACGCATGCACGCACACACACACACACACACACACACACACACACACACACACACACACACACACACACACACACACATCGGACCACCTCATCCTTACCCGTCGCCAGCCAGCCATCAATGCCTGCCAGAGGCGAGACACCAGTTGACCACGACGGCAGCAGGCCGTGGCTGTTCGAGCGCGGCGAGGGCCTCCTTCTCCCAGTGCCGGCTTCGCTTCACAAGACAACCCAGAGTACCTAATCACGCATTTGGACGTCGGAAGCCACGACGGCGAGGACCGCCACTCACCTGCCACCAGGAGGACAGCCGTGGCCGGCAGCAGCACGGCAAGCAGGAGCGTATTCATGACGTCGCTCCGAGGGTCCGACGGGTGGCGGCCGCCGCTCGGTACTGCCGGGACGCGGACTGACGAGGCGCCGCCGGCCACTCTGTTTACGTCCGCTGTGGAGGCGGCCGCGCGCTGGCCCTGTCCGTCTCCGCTCGGCGCGCGCTGCGGGCCCCCGCTACAGATGGACCGCGCCACGCCGACGGAGGCCGGCGCTCTCCCAGGCCAGACGCGCGTTCAGCTGGCTGGGAGGTGTGTGCGTGAATAAGGGGGGGGGGGGGATAACCTCTGGCGTCGGGTATGCTAGCGTCCGTCGTGCTGTTACAGCCCTCAGTCCCGACATGGACAGCGACACCGATGAGCGCGCCGCCACACACTGTGCTGGGCTCGGACAGCTGAGGTTCAGCGGCCGGTGATCCCTCCCTCCGCTGTCACGCGCTGGGCTGGGCCCGGACAGCTGAGGCTCAGCGACTGGTGATCCCCGCCTCCGTCGTCACGCACTGAGGTTCAGTGACTGGTGATCCCTCCCTCCGCTGTCACGCGCTGAGGTTCAGTGACTGGTGATCTCCCTCTCCGCCATCACGCGCTGGGCTGGGCCCGGACAGTTGACGCTCAGTGACCGGTGGTCTCTGCCTCCACCATCACCATGCTCCAAAGCGGGATCGACGCCGCGCTATCGACAGGAAGCCATCAATTGTGGCAATCGCCAGCCCCCCCCCCCCTCTCCCACACCGCCCAATAGCAGAACACGCTCCGAACAGCGCGACGACGTCACCGCCCCGGCGGCGCGATTGTTTCCGGGGAGGAGCGCCAGTGTCCGTAATCGCAGCAGACGGGCCCTCCGGAAGCGGCGGCGGATCCACGCTCGTTGAGTGGGGAGAATCGGTCTTCCGATGACGAATCCAGGGTTTTATCACTGAGCTGACTGAGATAGACTACTTATAAGGATTACGGCTAACCGAGTCAGTGTTGGTAGCCTGGTGGCAGAACGCTGAGGTCGTCACCAAAAGACCCAGGTTCAAAACCCATCAGTTCCGAGGAGAAAGTTCGGGGTGTGTCGCGCGCATGGCTGAAAGCCGAACACTTTACAGCCCAGCTCAGCACTCGATAACATTTGACGGCGGCCAGCAACTTACCTGGCCGAAATGTTGTGTGCACACTGACACATCAGACGAAAACGGTATCCCGAGCAGAGACTTCATCTGACTGGACGCGGCCGGCGTACTCATGGAGACAGTTGTGGTGAAGCCACAGATCACATGAAACACAATCCAGCGCTGACGACCTTCAACATTGATATTATTCTTAACACTTCTAATGATAAGCAACATCGTTTAAGGGGAGGGGGCGGTGTCATGCGGGCAAACACCACGGAGTTTGCATTTCCAAGAATAATAAAACATACATAAAGTCACGGTGTATTTCAACGCCTCCCAGTACTCAGTCACGTCCGATCAAATAGTCATCTGCAGCCAGAAAATCTGAAGACGAGTCCAGAACAGCAGAATTACCCGAACTTTACGCATAATGCAAACCGACGATGCATTCTGAGCCGGGACATTCCACAGTGGCGCACATCCAGTCTCCCGACTAGGCCTCCCCTACGTTACACGATGAGCGGGCTGCACCAATCACAGGGCACATGGGTATTGGTCTACCGCGGACCCCCTCTGGATGCCCGGCCGATGACGCCGGAGCCCCGCTCTGCACCCGACCGACGCCGACGGCGGGCGAACGACGACGTCCGGACGCAGCGCGGTCCCAAAGCGTGACAGGACGTGACCCGTCCAGTCTGCCGTGACCCACCCCCAAGTCACGGCAGGCTCTCGGGGCTCGGGGCCATGGCCCGCAGGGACACACGTGGTCCGAGGTCCGGCCGCCCGACCCCGGCCGTGACAAGACCCGTCCCCGCTCACGGTGGCAGACTCCCAAGGCTTGTGGCCACGCTCCAAGCGGCACTCGTGGTCCAATGTCCACCCAAACCAGACTGTTGACACCATAAAACAGGATTGCGTTCGACTGTTTCCGAGGTCCGAACAACGCAAAATCAAGTGAGCAAAATGCATACCGCGGAAGTGGGACGTTAAAACCGGGGAGCGCGCGGGGTGACGGGCGGAGCTTGCAGCGCGACGGGCGCTACGTAAGCGTAGTAACACTGCAACGAGCGCAGCACAATATAGCGGCGCCAATACCTAGTTGTGGTCACTGTTGATGCTTCTACGACTAGCTCGAGAGCCCAATTAAAACGGCCTTGGTGTTCACCGCAGTAACACCAAAACGGTGTCGTAATGTTCCAGCTCGTGCACCGGATGAACAACGTCGCAACGGGCCCGGCAACACGCCAGTCGGCAGCTCAGGAACTCAAACAAAGTTCACCTGTTGACTTACACGGACGGGTGAATGGGTGAATAGCCACTAATAAATAAAACCAACAAATCCACTACTGGTTCCTCGGAGAGCGGACCTCCTGCTCCAATCAGAGTCAAATCACATCGGAGGCCTACACGTACCCATTCGACGCGCTCGCTGACGCCTCGAGCGGAGCCCACACCATCACAGGATTCGCACGTCTTCTTTCCTGGGGTCTACGCACCGACCTCTAGCCAACGCCAGCCCGACGAAGCTCTGCACCGTGGTTGCCCCTCCTCGGAGAGTCGGAAACTCTCTGCACTGAGCGCACGGTGGTCCTAACGACACCGCATCTGCACCGCTGGGGACGACGGCCGTCGAGCCTCAGCCTCAGCTCAACAAGCAGTCTACCCGTCAGAACGCCGGCGGACGAGCGTCAGCCCGCGGCGCGCGTCACAGGCACGGCGTCAGCTATAGCGCCTGAGTTATGTGTGACTACTGAATGGCGGCGCCCGGCAGAGCGCCGACGTCGTTACCAGCGCACCAGCGGCTTCAGCTCGTCGTTGATGCTCAACCGCTTCACCGACTCGTAGCCGAGCACGACCATGAAGGAGAAGGTGATGGAGGAGACCAGACGCGCCGACAGGCCCTTGGTGAAGATGCCCCAGCGCTCCTCGGCCCAGAGTGCCTGCACCGTCTCGGGCAGCGAGTTGACGCGCTGGATCTGTGGCGCCGACGCAGACGGATGTTAGCGGCCGCCGCCGGCGTCCGGGGCTGACGCGGACGGGATACGGGGGGGAGGGGGGGCATTTGAGGGGCCGCGGCGTAGCACGGTTATCAGCGGAACTGGGGACTCACGTCAGGACAGCCAGCATCCTGTTTCATGGCACAAACACGCAGACGGCTGGATATCCATCCTGTGATATCCATATCCATATCCATCCAGCCGCCTATGCCTGGCACGCCGGCCTGACCCGTACGTCACCGTGCCAGGCTCTCTCAGCGCGGCGATAAACAGACAGTGGAGCATCGCCGGCGAGTGCGCAACACTAGCACGCCAGCAGGCCCCGGTTCCGTGAACAGACCCGCCCGCCCCTTCCCCCCCGCCACGGGCAGGACAGCAAGCGCGAAGCGCCGGCCGGCGTCCCTCCCGAGATCTCCCCCGACCCCGACCACCGAGGCACACTTTGCGGAGGCCCCACACGGCGAAAGAGGTGGCGATGCTGATTTGGAACTACAATCGTAGGTTATATAGCTGGAGCCATACAATTTACAACTGTAGCCCTTGGAGCCGTGCTCCACGGCGCTGAGGGTAGCAGAAATAGGACCGCATTGTTGGCAGTCTAACCGCAATGATCGGCCGCATAGATCGCTGAGCAGGCGACCAAAGATAATATCATTAGATATGTTTGAGTACCCCGATCTCTAAACCGAAAAAAATCCGGAAGAATTTAATCCCACAGATCATTCTGGCGATCTTCGCGCAAACCTACAAAATTAACGTGTTTTGCAAAACTACTAAGCACCTGCCAAAAATACCACCATAGCAGAGCCATACCGGAAATGAAAGTCATGTCAGCGACAGCTTGTCCCGACGGTTGACTCGGCGCGCCAGAGTGGCGCGTCTGACTCGGGACACTGACCTGGTAGCGGGCTCGCACGCAGTCCAGCGGGTTGGTCAGCACTGTCGTGGTGACGCCGCCCAGCGTGGCCGACAAGCTCTGCATCAGCAGTAGCGGACACAGGCTAGGTGGCAGCACCTTCACCAGCTGTTCTGTAGAACATGACATGGTCACCATCATCAGCAGACACAGGCCAGGTAGCAGCACCTTCACCGGCCGACAAGCACATGAGAGCAATACCAAACACCTCAGACAGCCATTACGCTGCTAAACATGAGTTTGAAGAACAAATTGATTATTACTCATCTTTAGTTAGAGACCAAGTTTGAAACTTTCTTCGAACATTTTGGATGAACGGATTTCTGGGACCACATATTACACTGCGCGGTGCATGTTGTCGCGTGGGCCCCGACCCCCCTCCACCATTCCACCATCTGATCGTGCAATTTCAAGTCGACGGCGGAATTTTGCGACGAAAGCTGAACATTCCTCATTGCTCCGGCCGGTCCGTCCTGCTCCTCGAACTCACAACACCACGAGTGTGTAAGCTTAAAGGTGGGCGTTTTAGCCACGTGAGCCACCCGCACGGACCACAAACCATACACAGGCCATTGCCCTTTCCCTGCTCTGTCTTCTACTGCGTATCTATCGCGAGATGAATTATTACCATAACCAATATGGACAACGTGATCATCAGGGTCAGTATGCACTTTTGGCCTACTTTGTGGAGAAAGGCGACAAGTGCCGCATCACTGGTAAAACAAAACATGTGTCGCACAAAATGGAAAATATACGCAACGGCTGATAAAATATACCTTGATAAAAGTGGTAGAATGACCACCACAACGCTGAGTTGGGTACATATGTGCAAATGGAGGCGAAGTATCCGCGATAAAAACCACGGACGCCGTCTTGTTTGTACACTTCTTTTATGATCTCCAACGCTATCTGAAAAAGACAACCATCCGTGAAGAATTGCTTCAGCAAGCAATGCGCCACTTATTTCGGCAAGCACCGTTTATCGGCCATCATTTTCATTCATAAATCTCCTCAGTTCATATCTTGAGCGTAATGTGAGTGCTAGCTACGCGC